GGGAACTATAAGCTCTGTTCTCGTTGCTGACCTGAACCGCTGGCCTCATTCCCCCTGGCGGCTTCTCCAGGTATTGCTTATTACTACTGGTCTCTGAATCTCAATTTCTTTTTGCAATTTGTTTGCTACATTTCTGTACCTTCGAAACATTTTGCCAGTCTTTTATCGATTGTGTTGTCGCATTGAGCTTTTAACCAAATCTACTTCTTTGGTAAGAAAAGAGTACTGTGGTGTTGTAGTCAAATGTTGTCAAGCATAAGCATAGGCTCTTGATCTTTTGAACTCTTCCGATTGAATACCAAATATTTAAAAAACAAAGAGTGAGTTCATGCCTAGGAAGTAATCATTTTCAAGGAAAACCCCAGGTTTCCTTTATATGCTTTAGATTTACATTTCCCCACTAAGTATGAAATCCTCTCTGCTTGAGCTTATGTTTACATCTGTTCACAATTTACTAAATTGCAGGTGACATGGGATGAACCAGATTTACTGCATAATGTGAAGCGGGTCAACCCATGGTTGATTGAATCAGTCTCAAATATGCCCATTATCCCCTTGTCATCATTCTCACCACCAAGAAAGAAGTTGCGGCTCCCGCAACACCCTGACTTTACTCTTGACGGCCAATTTCTGGTACCGTCGTTTTTAGGTAATCCCCTTGGGCCCAGCAGCCCCATGTGTTATCTACCCGATAACACTCCTGCAGGCATACAGGGAGCCAGGCATGCTCTATTTGGAATATCTTTATCAGATCTCCACCTTAACAACAAGCTGCAGTCAGGGCTGTTCCATTCCAGTTTTCAGCAGTTGAATCAACACTCTAGAATTTCTAATGAAATCATCACAGGCAATGCAAACCGCAATGAGAGCCTATCCTCTTTGCTCACAATGGGAAATTCTACACAGAATTTGGAGAAATCTGATAGTGTTAAACTTAAGAGACATCAATTTGTACTTTTTGGTCAGCCAATACTCACTGAGCAGCAGATCTCCAATAATGGTTCTAGTGACACAGTCTCAGAAGTTTCTAACGGGAAAAGTCTAACAGATGGGAATCCAGAAGGTGCGAAATTTCATTCTAATGGCTCAGGATCTCTACCTGAACAGCAGGCTTCATCAAATACTGGGATTTCATGGCTTAAGGGTCTTCAAGCTACTGAATTTGGTCTGGATACTGGCCACTGTAAGGTATTTATGGAATCTGAGGATGTTGGACGGGTTCTTGACCTTTCTGTTCTTGGCTCCTATGAGGAGTTGTACAGGAGGCTGGCCAACATGTTTGGAATAGAAAGATCGGAAATGCTGAGCCATGTTCTTTACCATGATGCAACTGGAGCTGTTAAACGAACCGGAGATGAACCATTCAGGTCTTGTTTGATACCTTAACTTTTTTTCTTTTTGTTCATCATCTGTTTCTGTCCCTTGTGATATCTTGCTGCATTTGGCTTCATCATCTTTATATATCGGACTTTTAACATTTTTCCACCTTGTTCTGAGTGCAGTGATTTTATGAAGACGGCAAAAAGGCTGACCATTTTAACAGATTCGGGCAGCAAAAATATGGGAAGGTAAGTAAGAGCTTGCTTCTCAATTAATTCCTCACTCCTAAATAATAGGAAAATTTTATCAAATTTCATTACAAACATAATAAGATTGGCTCCTTTACCTTTGTATTAACTTATTAACACTGCAAATTTGCCCATTCTATATGTGTTTCACAGGGCGCGGATTACAGGGATGCGAAATGCTGAAAATGGGCTGGGCGCATCAAACAAGACAGGTCCTTTGAGTATATTTGCGTGATCTAGTGTGTCTCTTGTAAACTTTTATTATTATTATTATTATTTTTTAAGAATGAACAATTGTTGAGGGATCCTTAAACTTCGTAGTCTTGAATGGAGAAAAAGACTATTGAACTCCATCCGGTACTTGTTTGTTTCTCGGTTTACATGTACATGTTTTAATGAATATCCTATTTCAGTATGGTGAATTTCCATGTCTCAAAGCTCATCCGACTTGAACTAATATCTGCAATTGACTTCCAGCACTGTGCTAGTGCATTTTTTTTTTTTTTTTTCTGTGTTGAGAAATTTACCGTCATTCATGTCTTGACGAGATTGAGAACCAGCATTTTTTGTGCTTTCTAGAGAGAGTAGCATAGAAAACATGTGAGCTACCAAGTTGGTTACATCATTTATTGGGGATGTGGGTCTATTTTTGAATCTGGAACTGAAATTGCAACTGAGCTGCTTTAAGAGATCCTAAAGGGACTGATTAATATTTCCTCGATATGAAAGTTAGAGATATTAATAAAACTTTCTTTCAAACATAATGACCGCACTGTGTGGTTGGCTTATGCTCGTAAGCTTTTACTGTATGCAAAGAAAGAACCCAATTATTGGAATACACATTTTTAAATACACTTTTTTAGCATTGCAGCTAAACAGCACAACTGTCATCCGACCATCCAGGGCAGTGGCAATATCTGTTTCATATTAATAATTACTGATCGTACGCCGTTAGCTAGGTTTTCCTTGCTTTCTGGTGATTGCAGGCCAATTATTCAACGGCAAGTCAAGAACCTTTCAAAGCCTCACTGCTTTTGTTTCTAATTGTTGGTCACACTTGGCTAGCTTTGCTTGCTTCTTTAGTGATTGCAGGCCCTACTATTTTGTTGTGCAGTCATTTTCAGCTGCAAATTACTTATTGGAATATACCTTCTTTCCTTTTCAAGTTGCTATTCGTTTCTGTATAACCATCATTTACTACGAGAATTATGCATGTAACTACCATATGAAGAACACTCTACCGATAGGATAGGATATTGTTTTGAATCGTCACGTCTTTATTAGCGGCTATCTATTTTGCATATAATTTTTTGTAATTCTTTTTTGTAATTTGGATCAGATATTACTAATCCATTTGCATAAAGACAACAAATGGATTAATTTTATTGACCCACTTTCTTACCGGATCCTTCTGAACAAGTCGAACCACTTTTAGTATGAGACGAAACAGCTTTTTTTGTTCGCTAAAAAGTTGAGCGTCTGGCTCTCTGAATTGGCATTTACTAGTTGACTTTATCCGATTAGCTTCTGCTGCTTTTTAATGTCAAACCAGGAGATGCCATGCCTCCTCTTTAGGGAGCTTCATTACTAGTGTCTTTTAACCTTTGCCTTTAATGGCCCAACAGAAAGAAAATACAAATTAAGAAACACAAAAGGGAAATCAAAAGAAGCAAAAGTGTCGTAACCCATAGTAGAACTAGGAGAAAACAAAGAGAAAAAGTCACTTCTCGTTCACAGAAATTTGTCTCTACCCCTATGGAATTTATGGACGTCAGAAACTGTATAATCACTTGACAAATTCAGTCTCCGGCAGACCTGCAACTTTGACTTGCGCTTTCAAAAGTTTTGATTAATTTCCGACAACCAAAGTATATATGCATATATAGTTCAATTGTCTGACCAGTAATTTAAAGGATTTTAATATTTTCTTTAATAACAAAACCCCTCTCTATCATAAGAGTCTGTGGATGTGTCAATTTGACAATTGGAGAGGCCTAAAAGAGTGTCACTACATGAAAGATACTTTGGAACAATAATACTAGGCCAAGCATAACAGTATAAAATTTTCACATTGTTACTGTCGGTGGGAATGCGTGTGATATTCATGTCTTTTTTTTTTTAAAATACAAATAGTATCTAGAGATGAACGACCAATATTAGCATATCACGTCCTAAATATTAACAAGAATGTTTGTTGAAAATCCTAAAGGCGGGCACTAGAGCCGTAAGTTTGATCAAGGCTAAACGAGCTAATCCGATACCTGTTACTGTTGGCTCGGGTCCTATATGAACCTACGAACTGAGGTGTTAAGCTCAAAAACTTATTCAGAGCGAGCTAATTATAAAAATACAAATAGTATCTAGAGAGGAACGACTAATATTAGCATATCACGTCCTAAATATTAACAAGAATGTTTGTTGAAAATCCTAAAGGCGGGCACTAGAACCGTAAGTTTGGTCAAAGCTAAACGAGCTAATCCGATACCTGTTACTGTTGGCTCAGGTCCTATATGAACTTACGAACTGAGGTGTTAAGCTCAAAAACTTATTCAGAGCGAGCTAATTATCATTTTACAAAAAAGAACAAAAAATTACCATATAAAGTTATGAGCCGATCCTAGGCTGTAGGGCTTTAGAGCCGGCTTAGGTCGGCCTTCCCTTTTTAAAATAGGTATGTCCAACTCAAAATTTGCGATTGAACTTGAGTCACGTGGCCCGAACTTTCACCTTCTCAGATGAGGAACGTGTCATGTCTGTTTACCTTTTTGTCACATCAGTCGTCAAATACTACTGATCACTAATGGAATACAATACTGTAAAGTATACGCAATATGTGACGAGGTGTGGGTTGGAAGAGCAATATTAAATAATAAAAGGACCACTCACTTAACTTGGGGATCTGAGATCCCACAAAACATGAGGTTGGCCTGGCCTCACTGTTCCGGCAGTTTGACGGCCAAGCTGGGTCTGGTCTGGTCTGGTCCCATTGGTCCAGCCTTTGAATTCTGTGGACGCTCATTTTGGTTTGTTCTAATATTATATTATGTCAACATTAGGATTTTGTGAAAATATTGAAAATTCCCAGAAAATTCTTATATTTAATATTTAATAATAACAAGAAGAAAAGAAATGCCAAGTTGAGGGACAAGGCACACGTGGGGGTGGGGCCCATGGAGGTAATTGATTAGATCAACAAGGTGCACGTGCAGTCTAGCACTTGTGACGCCGTTTTGGTGGCCGGGCCTCTTTGGTCGTTGGCTTGCTTGCGTTTTGTAGGATTTTGACTCTCACGATCCATTTTACCTTATCAATAGTTATTTGCCACTGAAATCAATACTTATTATTAGTTTTTTTTAAAAAAAAAAAAACTTGAAATTAATGCTTATAGTTATTATTGGTTCAAGAGTTTTATCAATGCATGATTATTTGTTAAATCTCATTTCAACGATCAAAAAAGTTGTCGCTTCTACTTTATTTTGCTCTTTAGAGATAACCTTGAATTCATAATACATATCCTTTGGAAGATTGACGATAATACACGTTACACAATGATATTTCGTTCATACGTAGTAATTTTGCAAAAATCTCTTCTCTAGTTGGGGAAAGGCCTCGTATAAACCGGATTTTTGACCTAATTACGTTGCAAAATGATATTATAGAATTAATATGATGATACTACAATTTATTTCATGTACTATCTATTTAACAAGCAATGTGAAACTTAAGCCTCGTTCATTTCACCGATTCGAGTTTTCAGTTTTAAGTTTCTACAGTAAAAAGTTCTCAGAAAATGTCACATCTAAATTTTTCTGCTACAGTAAAAAGCTCTCAGAAAATGTCACATTTCAACTCGAATCCGCGAAGTGAACGAGACCTTATTAACTAGTCAACCACCATGTTATATAACTTGCCCGTACATTAAGCACGGTCTGTTTTGTATAGAATGCATTTCAAGAACAATGTGTATATATAGTGAACATTTTCGAAAATTCTTCATTAGAATACCTTCTAATATATATATACATATATATATATATATATTTGTGGTTATTCATAGTGAAATTGAAACATTGGTGTATGCCTTACAAAAATGGGTTGGGAGGGGTTTGTCTCTAATTTTTCAATTCTCTTCAATTTCTCTTAGCTTGTGAGGAGAAACAATAGTATATCAAGAGATGTAAAAGTAAAATCACGTTTGGATGTCATTTCCAAACAGCTTGCATTAAAATCATGGTCCACTAGGGCCTACCTACTACACATGTAAATGAAGCATATTAATTTTATAAAGTATGACCTGTTAAGCAATTAATTAAGAGATGTTGTCAAAATAAGACTTGAGATCTTTTGAATGAACACTAATAATTTTCTACAATTAAAGAAAGAAGTAAGGTCAGACAGTCAATTAGTCAAAGACTTTGAAGTAAGAGCCTCGTAGAAATAAGAACAATTAAAGGGCGAGTACTTCATCATGAAAAAGAACCAAAAAAAAAAAAAAAAGCATTAAAAACCATAGATAAATATGTAAAGGCAGAAACATGTTTCGAAGCACATTCATTTTCCAAGTTTTCCTCCCTGTTTTCAGTTCCCATCTTTTATGCAATGGGATTTGGGATTTCTTTCATTGGGATGGACATGGGTTTTCATTGCTCATCCACATTTGACATAATGGAAAACTTCGAGTCATCACAGACTCACAGTTGTCTAGTTTTTTTATTTTTTCTTTAAAAAAAAAAAAACTTTTTTTTTCTTCTCTTTTTTCCTAATATCAAGTAAGATTTGCATTACATGGTCAAAAACATGTTTATGAATGAAACACGTTTAGCCTATCGATATTGTCAACCACTAACTTTATATCTCTCCATGGACCATAAAACTCCTATTCCCATACAAATACAAATGAGACTACACTAATTTGTTTGAATTGAATTTATTGTTAGTGGACTCATTTTTATGAGGCATGTCCTTTGTATGATTTCATGGGATTCAAATATGTTGTTTAATTTTAGTGTCTTTATTGGTATTTAATCGAATAAATTATACTACGTTATGTAAAAAGTTTAAATTACTTTTTAACTAATTCTTAGTGTTTATTATGAGATGATGTAATATGATTTAATTAGTTAGACACTAATTAGGACACTAAAAATTTAATAACAGATTTGAATCCGACTTTATGGGGCATTCGACATTGATCCACATTATTTTCCTTACATATTAACAAAAGCACTGCAAAAGGAGAAATTTGAGCCAAAACAAAACTTGAAAATGGCATTGTGATTCCAGATATTTTATATCATGAAACTACATACATAGTTTAATGGAAGCTTGAGGTTGCATATTAAGAGCGCAGT